TAAAAATAGCAACACTTCAATGAAGAAAAAAAATCAGCAAGATCTCACACTAAAAGCTAGTTGATGCATGTGTCCTATGTGAGAATCTCTAAAGAAACAGAATGCAAGTGTTCAATTGATTGCCACTTTCATACTTTTCCCAAGGTTACTTGAGAAAGGAACAGATAACAAAAATCCACTTATGCAACATAATTATCCCAAACTGATATATGCCAGTTGTCTAACCTTCACAAGAGGAATAAAATAATCAACCAAATCACTTTCCCTCATCTGCGATCCGATTCTGCACAAAGACTCCACAGCTTTGTCCCTGACACAGGTTTCCTCCACAGCGCACAGTGTTTCCAGAGGTGGGAGCAATACATGGGCATGCTCCACCCCTCCAACGTAAGGAATAAACACGCCCAACTCTTCCGCCATAGCGAGAAGAACCTCATCATCGTCGTCATTGTTCTCACTCAAAAATGGGATCAATTCCTTCCGTGTTCTCTCTTCCCCAAGGGCACGCGCAATGGTAGATAGTCGGCGAATGGAATTCAGCCGCAGTTGAATATCATCGTTTTTCAACTCATCTATTAATACTGCTATTGGATACAGTGGTTCATCAACACTCGCCATGGTGTCTCAGAAATCTCCAGGAGCTATGAGCTTTGTTAAAATTAAAAACAGGGGCAGGTAATTATAATCCTTATAGTAAAAGCAAAGCACAGCAGAAATGTAAAAAATGCAAATGAAGAATTAGAAGAAGAAAATAAAAGCGAGAGCATTTAAAATTTCCCAAGAACATGGATATTTCAAAAGTACAGATTAATTCTTTCTAAAAGAAAACAAAACTAAAATTTCAAAAACTAAATTACTCAAAACGTTGAAATCCTAATAAAATTAAGAATTTTTTCCCCAAGAAAAAAAATGTATCAACCAGGTCTAGTGGGTGGATTTTGGTCCTGTATATTTCACCAATTACACTTGAGGGCTGCCGATTCTAAAGGCAAGGAGAAAACCATAAACAAGCACATAAAAAATTCAAGAGAGATATTGTCAAGAAAATCGCTGGTGCGTGACGAAAATTACCATCAAAAAACAGAAAATTTGTAAAAACTAAATTCCAAGAAAGTAGAAATAAATAATGGCGATAAGGCCAGACGGATCTTAGATCGGGGTTGTGTTACGGTTGACAACAATCAAATCGAGTGCAAAATAAACACGTAAAGCCAATTGAGGAGCTAGAAGAAAAGAATGGCGATAAGACTGGACGGAATCTTAGATCAAAGTTGTGTTGAAATTAAATCATTCACAAAACAATCAAAACCAAATAGATTTAAATGATGTTTTTACTCAAATAGATCTGATATTACCTTCAAATGAAGAAGACGATTATCCTTGTAGAAATCACTGCAAAACTGCAATTGGTGCCAAGAGGGTTATGAACACGTCTCCCTTTTACCCTCTTCTCCACACCAAAATGTTCACAATTTTGTGCCTATCGCTTTCCACTTCTATTGCTCCGTATTAATAAAACAGAAGACACAAGCCTTTAGTTGGATGACACCAACAAAATTGGCTTTTAATTGGGCTGTATAAGGCTT